TCAGGCTATCTTTATGAGTTTCTTTTTTTTAAGACACGAACGATGTCTTTGATTTAGTGCTAGATGAAATAGCAATACTGGGTTCCTCCTTTTATGTTAAACATATTTTTATTTTGAAATAATTTTAAATTCATAAAAAGTTACAACATTCATCAATTGTTAACAATATGTCACATTGACTGTATTATTCTTTCACGTATGTTATTTTTTTCTGAAACATTTGAGATTAAGAACATTATTTTTAACATAAGAAAACCAGAGTTGATGTCACTCTGTGTGTGTGTGTGTGTGTGTGTGTGTGTGCGCGCGCGCGCGTGTGTCTGTTTGAAGACAGAGTCCTACCCAGGCTAGAGTGCAATGGCATGATCTGGGCTCACTGCAACCTCTGACTCCTAGGTTCAAGCGATTCTCCTGCCTCAGCCTCCTGGGTGGCTGGGATTACAGATGCCCATTACCGTGCTTGGCTAATTTTTGCAAATTTTTTTTTTTTTTTTTTAGTAGAGTTAAAGTTTTACCATATTGGCCAGGCTGGTCTTGAACTCCTGACCTTAGGTGATCCGCCCACCTCGCCTCCCAAAGTGCTGGGATTACAGGTGCGAGCCACTGTGCCAGGCCATGTTTTCTGATGGGAGTCTTTGGTATCTTACCTTATGCTCCTCTCTGTGTCCCCTACCCAGCCTGCTTCTTTATTTATAAAAGTACACAAGGGATATGTGCTGGTAGGAAACAATCAGAAATGCAATTAAATATACAAAGTAAAAATGAAGCCTGGCTAGGAGTGGTGGCTCCCAGATAATCCCAGTACTTTGGGAGGCCAAGGTCAGGAGTTTGAGACCAGCCTGGCCCAATATGGTGAAAACCTGTTTCTACTAAAAATACAAAAATTACCTGGGCACGAGAGTGGGCACCTGTAATCCCAGCCACTCAGGAGGCTGAGGCAGGAGAATTGCTTGAGTGTGGGAGATTGCAGGTTTGCAGTGAGCTGAGATCACACCACTGTACTCTAGCCTGGGCGACAGAGTCAGATTCCATTTCAAAAAAATAGAATAAAATAAAAGAAGAAGGCTTACCATCTCTTGGCTCTGCTTTACTCCTTAGAGGTAATAATATAAGCAGTCTGCTGTCTGTCCTTTTAGACTTTTCTCATAAGTAATAAGATAACAGTTTATCATTATAATGACATAATGGTTTGTAGTCTAACAAATTACCTAACAGTGTGATTTTAACTTTACAAAGTATTATATATATTATTCTGCAACAGAAGCTTTTCCACATAATGATGTGTGTGGATACTTCTCCAGTATGTACATAGATCTACATACTTTTTAATTGGATATGGATTATTTTGCTACACCTATGTACTATAATTCAATATATTTAGCCACTATTGTATTTTTTTTTTTTGAGACAGAGTCTCTGTCACCCAGGCTGGAGTGCAATGGTGCAATCTCAGCTCACTGCAACCTCCGCCTCCCAGGCTCAAGTGATTCTTGTGCCTCAGCCTCCTGAGTATCTGGAATTACAGGCATGTGCCTCCACACCTGGCTAGTTTTGTATTTTTAGTAGAGTTGGAGTTTTGCCATGTTGGTCAGGCTGGTCTTAAAACTCCCAACCTCAAGCGACCCAAAGTGCTGGGATTACAGGCGTGAGCCATCATGCCTAGCCGTAGCCACTGTTGTATTAAAGCAAATTCATGTTATAGTAATTGTGTTTCCAAGTGAGACACAGCACTGAAGCCAAGTGATAGCTAGTGAAAGTTCAGAATAATTTTGCAGCCTTTTCAAACTACATTTTGTAACGCAGTCTGTCCCTCAAACAGCTTTGTAGAGGTGATGAAACTGTTCTGACGTAGTGATACCTGATGGTGTCTATCAAGGAAGCTCGTGTTTGGATTGGAAAATAATTCGCTTTAAAAAATAACTGTAATGTTTTTTATTTCGTAGTATTTAAAAAACCTCAGCTTTACCCAAATATGATTTAAATATTTTGCTAAAAAATTATGAACTCAAAATAAAAAATCAGGGCCTGCATTTGGTGTTATTTTTAACCATCATTTGTGACACAGGAATGATTTGTGAGGATTGATGAAATAACATATGTCAAGTATCTACTACAGTAGCTAGTACATAGTAAATATTTCCTTATATTCATTCATTCACAAATGTTGATTAAGCCTCTACTATATGCAAGGCAATATGCTAGGCACTAGGGTTTTAGTGATGAAATAGGCATATGTAATATCTCCCTGCTTGCAGTTTACATTCTAGAACAGTCGTTGCAAAGTGAGAGTCTTTAAGAAAGTTGGAATAATTGAGCTGGTGGCTTACTTTCTTTAGAGTCAATAATAAATCAAATTTACCAACAATTTTATCAGTTTACGATTATTGCACCCTCCTCCTTCCTTGTGGGTGTTCTTTTCTCCTTACTGAAGTACATTCATTAGTAACTTTTTCAGTACTGGTTTGTGGGTGATATATTTCTTAATCTTTGTATGTTAGAAGCAGTCTTTATTTTGCACTTATTCTTGGATGATAGGTCATTTACCTTCAATACTTAGAAGATCTTTCTCCATAACCTTGTGATCTCTGTTGTCTCCTATATCTGTTGTAGGCTGTCAGTCTTATCGTCAGTTTTTGGTAGGTTACTTCTCTTTAGTCTTTAGCCTTTAAGAGTTTATAATTAGTTATGTGAATTTATCCATGCTTTGTTTATTTTTACTTATCCCAGATTGTATTCACTGAACATCTTAAAATTCATATGTTTCTTCAGTTTTAGAAAATTGTTGGCATTCACGCCTCAAATACTGCTTCTCGGCCATTGTCTCTATTTCCTTCCTTTGGAACTCCTCCTTGACTTATGTTAGCATTTCTCTATTTGACTTCCATGTTTCTTAACTATTTTCTCATGTTTTTAACCTTTGCTACCTTCTGAGTGAGTTCCTTGCTATTATCATTGAATCCACTGATTCTATCTTCAACCATGTCCAGTCTAGAATTATTAAGACAAGGCCTGGGTGCAGTGGCTCATGCCTGTAAACCCAACACTTTGGGAGGTTGAGGCGGGTGGATCACCTGAGATCAGGAGTTCGAGACCAACCTGGCCAACACAGTGAAACCCTGTATCTACCAAAAGTACAAAAATTAGCAGGGTGTGGTGATGCATGCCTATAATCCCAGCTACTCAGGAGGCTGAGGCAGGAGAATGGCTTGAACCTGGGAGGCAGAGGTTGCAGTGAGCTGAGATAGTGCCACTGCGCTCTAGACTGGGTGACAAGAGTTAGACTCCGTCTCAAACAAATGGACAAAGTTGCAGAAAGAAGTCATTGATCATCTTAGCTGCCTGTAGCACGGAAGTAAGTGACTTGCTGGATGGAGTGTGCGTGGACGTGGATGTATTACATCTGCAGTCCGCCCCTGTGTCTGCCCACAACTGACGGGAGATTAGCGGGTTCTCCTTTTCCACCTTCTGAGTCTTGTATAAATGTGTCTTCGCTGTCAGAATCTAACTCAGAACCCTCTGGTAAGGACATCTAGGAAGTATAGTTTGGGGCTTCGGTCCCTATGATTTTACAAGGAGCAAAAATGTTTGTCAGTTAAGAATGATCCATTTATTTAAACTCTTTTCCTTGTTACTAATCCTCCAGTTTTTTCCTAAGCCTCTAACATTAGCCACTTCCCTTGACTGTCTGATCATCTCTTATTCCAGGCAAAATGAATCCCCCAATATATTGTTTGAAATTCCGCCTTTCTAATAATTTTTAGGGGTACTCCTGAGCGGATCTATAAGCATCATCAGTCTTATTCCAGAAGGCACCAGCATACTGAGTGTGACCATCTGTAAGCCAGGACTGACTTTTCCGTCCTCGTTACACCTGTTCACCGAGAACTCTTCTAGAAGCCACGGCGTTTTTTGTTGTTGTTGTTTTTCATTTTTTCGGTTTTTTTTTTGTATTATCATTTTATCTTTTTGTAGACACAGGATCTCACTATGTTGCCCAGGCCAGCCTTGAACTCCTGGGCTCAAGCAATTCTCCTGCCTCAACTTCAGCCTCCCAAGTAGCAGGAGGGAAAAGATGAAGAAGTCATAGGTGTGGATTGAAGGAGAGTTGGTGCAGTCGCAGGAGCAGATGCCATGGTGGGAATCTGGGCTCTTGTAACTGACTTGTGCCTTTTGAACCTGCTGGAGCTTGCTCTCTAGAACCCCTTTCCCCTTGAAGATGGAGTGCTGTTCCTAGGCCCACCTTCCAGTGTGGTAATCATGATGGATAGCTGTATTGCAGGGACACCTAATGTCCCCTCTTAGGCATTCTGTCTCTACTGTAGCCAGCCAATAGCTTCTTCTTAAAGACGAAGACTGTCTCAGAACACAGCATTACTTAGCTCTAAACGCTATGGGTCCATTTTGTGACTCTCCTATCAGAACTTGTCAGAGGCTTCCTACAGCTCATCTGCCGTAAATACTCTGAGCACCATTGGGTCTGCCAAGTTAGAAGGCCCACAGGGCAGCTGCTTTTACTGCAGCTTGTACCGGCCTCAAAGCCTTCCCCTGCTCTAGACCCCACTCATGCTATATAGATTTACAAGGGATTTGGTCAAAGTTTTGATGTGATATTTTCCAACATGGCAGAAGTTGCCTTCTGAATCCAAAGAGGCTCCCAACTTCAAAAGGCAGGGGTGGTGCTGGAGAGTGACAGACCACATCCAGCACTAGCTATGCTCTTCGTGTCGGCCTCTCGCTGCGCATACAGTGCTGTACTCACAAGCACCGTAAAGACTGTTTCTTTGGTGGTTTTATCTCCAGCCTTATTAAGCAGCCTCCCCGTGGTTTAGCTTAAAAACCATAATGAGGCCAGCTCTCTAAATTCATTCGAACCTCGGTCCAAAAGAATGATGGACAGCGCGGTTTCTTTGAGTGGGTTTTGCATTTCAGAGTGTGTAAGGAAGCTTGTGAGCACGTTTTTAAACTTTAATAAGAATCGGCTTTGTTCTCTGCCTGGACAGATGTGATGCCAGCATAGCCAGACTTTCTGCAGAGCACAAAACGACCTACGAGGGGCTCCAGCATTTGAACAAAGAACAGCAGGCTGCCAAACTTATCCTGGAAACAAAAATCAAAGACGCGGAGGGACAGGTACGACCTGTTGCAGGTAGCTGTTCTTAGCTAAGAGTAACATGGTGTTGATTATTTCTTACAGGAGAAGCCAGCTGGGGCACCTAGCATGGGTTGATGCCAATCATAGGCTTCGTTTCTTTGCTCCTTCCTTTCCTCTTTCACTAGAGTGCCCCTTCGTGTGTGTGGCAATCAAAACACCCAAATTTTTTGGTATAGTCCTAATTCTTTCCCCCACCACCCACATTCCTAAAGCAACGAATACACTGCAGAGATTCTAAATGACCCCTTGAAAGCTATCTCTTGCACAAGTGAGTGATCAGGTATTCCTTTACATGCCACTCGTCCTAATTTTTGATTCAGGAAATGATGTATTCACTGGGACTCATTGTATGTGTTACCTTATCACATAGTCTGTATGTGGGACAAAATTAGGCAAAGCTAGAGCACAGGCATGCTAATGAACATGAGGGTGTTTGACCTCAAACCTCACAGATTAAATTCACAAAGCAAAACTTTTGGCATTCCACAGTTTATTTTTTTGGCCACTTTAGAGTCTCCCTTTGCCATCATAGGCGTCTGTCTTGTAGGATTTTTTTTCACAGTATCTGCCTTATTTGCTATTGTTTGTTTAAAGAGACTATTCCAATAAAATAGGAGCATTGGTTAACTTATTGCATGAAATCCATTTATACCTTGAGTATCTCCAATAAGAATATAAAGCTACTTATGTGAAAAATACAGATATTATAAAACTATGAAAAAGAATAAAAAGACAATCCAATAATAATTTCTTTTCTGAAGAATGAGTGAGGTTGGAATTATCACACCAGAGAAGTGGTGCCAAGGAAATCATAAGCTTCCCCGTGGTTAAGCAAAGTGAAACATGTACAGATACCCACCAAAAGAGATATACTGTCTCTTTCTTCTGGATCTGAAAAATACTACAAATCTTTAAGTAAGGAACATTGAACATTGTAATTTTCACAGAAAAGGCAGAAATTTCACACAGGACTAGGTTTTTTTTTTTCTTTTTTTGAGACAGAGTTTCGCTCTTGTTACCCAGGCTGGAGTGCAATGGCGCGATCTCGGCTCACCTCAACCTCCGCCTCCTGGGTTCAAGCAATTCTCCTGCCTCAGCCTCCTGAGTAGCTGGGACTACAGGCACATGCCAGCATGCCCAGCTGACTTTTGTATTTGCAGTAGAGATGGGGTTTCACCATGTTGACCAGGATGGTCTCGATCTCTTGACCTCGTGATCCACCCGCCTCGGCCTCCCAAAGTGCTGAGATTATAGCCGTGAGCCACCGCACCTGGCCACAGAACTAGTTTTTGTTAAATTTCTGTCAAGACAAGGGCAATGGGTAGTTGGTGTGAGAAAGATACAGGAAGGATCTAGTCTACCAGTTATATTGACTGGAGAGCTGACTTGTTATGGAGGTAAATCTGAGACCTTGATGGACTTTGTAAACTATTTTCTGGAGGCCAGGCACAGTGGCTCACACCTGTAATCCCAGCACTTTGGGAGGCCAAGATGGGTGGATCACCTGAGGTCAGGAGTTTGAGACCAGCCTGGCCAACATGGTGACAACCCATCTCTATTAAAAAAAAAAAAAATTCTATTTTCTAGCCGGGTGCATTGGCTCACGCCTGTAATTCCAGCACTTTGGGAAGCCGAGGTAGGTGGATTACGAGGTTAGGAGTTCGAGACCAGCCTGACCAACATGGTGAAATCCCATCTCTACCAAAAAATACCAAAGTTAGCTGGGCGTGGTGGTGCACACCTGTAATCCCAGCTTCTCAGGAGGCTGAGGCAGGAGAATCACTTGAACCCAGTAGGCGGAGGTTGCAGTGAGCCAAGATTGCACCATTGCACTCCAGCCTGGGCGACATAGTGAGACCGCATCTCAAAAAAAAAAAAAAAAAAATCTGTTTTCTATGACCAGCAGTTATACTCATGGTAGAAATTCCAAGGTAAAGTTGACCATATTTTATGACACCAGGTGGAAGTTGTGGTCTTGGGCAGGAATTGGGCTTGCTCATCAGAGGACTCTATGTAAAATTAAGTGCTTAGTGCCTGATGAATATATTGGCAGTGCTACTGGTCTTGATTTTTGATGTGTGTATAAGAACGAAAATGGGGCTGGGCGTGGTGGCTCACGCCTGTAATCCCAGCACTTTGGGAGGCCGAGGTGGGTGGATCACGAGGTCAAGAGATCGAGACCATCCTGGTCAACATGGTGAAACTCTGTCTCTATTAAAAATACAAAAAATTAGCTGGGCATGTAATCCCAGCTACTCAGGAGGCTGAGGCAGGAGAATTGCCTGAACCCAGGAGGCAGAGGTTGCAGTGAGCCGAGATCGCACCATGGCACTCCAGCCTGGGTAACAAGAGCGAAACTCCGTCTTAAAAAAAAAAAAAGAATGAAAATGGAGGTGGAAAGATGAAGTAGACTTATAAATGAATTTATCTAGTTAGAGTGAGTCTTAATGCCGTTGACTAGAATACGGCTTACTTAATGTCTTCTGAAGTTGCATCTGAACACGTTAGATGTGGCATTTATAAGCAAGGTTTCTTTTCCAGATTTCCCAGCTTTTGAGCAGAGTGGACTTGTCAATATCAGAGCAGAGCACCAAACTGAAGATGTCCCACAGAGACAGTAACCACCAGCTTCAGCTTTTGGACACTAAGTAAGCAATCAACTTATTTTTAAAAAAGTGGTTGACTTTCTTTGTGAGTTTATGCAATACTATAATTTTTTCTTGGTTTTTATTTATTGCACAAAGTGAAAACAGTAATGGAAGTTAGAAATAATTTCTGTGCAGCATATTGCCCCTTTTCCTTCATATGATTGTCTTTTGTGTGTGGGTAATTATCCACCCATTCATTCAACACGTGTTTGTGGAGTACTGATTGACCTACGGGCTGAGGATCTGGTGATGATACAAACCAGACTCTGTTCTTATCCTTGTGGAGTTTAGGGAGCTGATGACCATTAATCAGTGACGTAAACGAGCATCTGCTATATTGTTACTAATGGTGGTAAGTGTGTTGAAGAAAAGGCTCATGGCCGTGGTAGGCGGAATAATGGTCCTCTAAATATTTTCATGTCCTAATCCCTGGGAGTTGTGAATATATTACCTTCTACGGCAAAAGGGGACTTTGCAGATGTGAGTAAGTTACGGATTTTAAAATGGGTTTTATCTGAGAAGCCTGATGTGATCACTAGAGCCCTTATAAGAGGGAGGGAGTAGGATCAGAGTGAAGAGAGAAGGCCATGTGACATGGAAGTGACACTAGGGTGATGCACTGTGAGGATGGAGCAAAGGGTTCTCAGCCAAGGGATACAGGAGGCCACTAGAAGTTGTGAAAAGCAGGCTGGGCGCGATGGCTCACGCCTGTAATCCCAGCACTTTGGGAGGCCGAAGCGGGCGGATCACAAGGTCAAGAGACGAGACCATCCTGGCCATGGTGAAACCCCGTCTCTACTAAAAATACAAAAATTAGCTGGGCATGGTGGCGTGTGCCTGTAATCCCAGCTACTCGGGAGGCTGAGGTGGAAGAATCTCTTGAACCCAGGTGGAGGTTGCAGTGAGCTGAGATTACGCCACTGCACTCCAGCCTGGCGACAGAGTAAGACTTCGTTTCAAAAAAAAGAAGTTGTGAAAGGCAAGGAAACGACTTTCCCTTCTGAGCCCCCAGAAGAACCCACCCTGCAAGCACCTTGACTTACTCCAGTGAAGCCTAGTTTAGACTTTCAGCTTCCAGAACTGCAAGAGAACAAACCTGTACTGTTTTCTGCCGCCAGGTTTGTGGTAGGTAGTTAGAGCTGCCACGGGAAACTAATTCAGCGGTGCTGTGAGAATGAGTGGCAGAGGCCTGGTTGTGGGGCCTTCCTGAGGAAGGGATGTTGGAGGTGAGAGCTGAAGAGTGAATGGGGCTTTGCTATGTAAAGAGTAGGATGAGAATCTACGAGGTTGAATAGCCTGTCGTGAGAGGAGGGTGGTATGCGGGACACTGAAAGATGACGAGGGTGACTGGAACTGGGAGTGAGGGTGAAGCAGTGGGGGCATGAAACAGCAGGGGAGGCTGGCAGGCGTGATTCTTTATGACAGCAATAGACACAAATAGAAAAAGGCAGAGTGAGAAGGCCCAACTTACACCTAATCAGAGTCCTATGAGAGATAACAGAAGGAATAGGGGAGAAGCAGCATCAAAAGGGAGAATGGCAGACAAGTGTACGGAACTGATGAAAGAGAAACCTCAAAGTCAGAAAAGCAAATACAGGGTGGACACAGTGGCTCTCACCTGTCATCCCAGCACTCTGGGAGACCGAGGCGGGCAGATCACCTGAGGGCAGGAGTTTCAGACCAACCTGGCTAAAATGGTGAAACCCTGTTGCTACGGAAGTACAAAAAATAGCCAGGCGTGGTCCCTTGGGCCTGTTATCCCATCTACTCGGGAGGCTGAGGCATGAGAATTGCCTGAGCCCAGGAGGTAGAGGTTGCAGCAGTAGTGAACGAGATTGCACCACCGTAGCAGCCTGTGCGATAGAGCAGGACTCTGCCTCAAAAAAAAAATGCCAAATACATTCCGTAGATAAGTAAAAAGCCACGTCTAGACACATCAGCTGGGTGCTCTAAAACTGCAGAGCACCAAAGAAAGAAAGGTCTCAAAGCAGAGAGAGAAATTAGACCAATGCCGATCCCTCAGCCATATTAATGGGGGCTCAGAGAAGGTGGTCTGGTACCTTCAGCTACTGAGAGACAGATTGGCAGCCAGTGGAAAAAGAAAGATCTTTCAGGCAAATAAGTACTCCGACTTAGCTGGGTGTGGTGGTGCATGTCTGTAGTCCCAGCTGCTCAGGAGGCTGAGGCAAGAGGATTGCTTGAGTCCAGGAGATTGAGGCTGCAGTGAGGTAAGATCGAGCCACTGGACTCCCGTCTAGATGACAGGATGAGATCCTGTCTCAGAAAAAAAAACTAAAAATGTACTAATAAACCTACACTAATGGAATTTTAAAAAGACAGCCTTCATAGCTGGGTGTGGTGGTGCATGCCCATAATCCCACACTTTGAAAGGCTGAGGTGGGCAGATCACCTGCGGTCAGGAGTTCAAGACCAGCCTGGCCAACATGGTGAAACCCCATCTCTACTGAAAATACAAAAGATTAGCCGGACATGGTGGTGTGCCCCTGTCGTCCCAGCTACTCGGGAGGCTGAGGCAGGAGAATCACTTCAACCTGGGAGGTGGAGGTTGCAGTGAGCCAAGGTCGCACCACTGCTCTCCTGCATGAAAAACACAGCAAGATTCTGTATAAATAAATAATAAATAAAAAGCCTTCAGGAAAAAGGAAAATAGGCCGGGTGCAGTGGCTCATGCTTAAACCGTAATACTTAGGGAGGCCAAAGCTGTTGGATCACTTGAGGTTAGGAGTTTGAGACCAGCCTGGCCAACATGAAGAAACTATGTCTCTACTAAAAATATGAAAGTAGCTGGAAATCGTTTGAACCCAAGAGGCAGAGGTTGCAGTGAGCTGAAATTGTGTGCCACTGTACTCCAACCTTGGCAACAGAGTGAGACTCCATCTCAAAAAAAAAATGAAAACAACACAAAAAGAAGGTCCAAAATATAAGAAGAAAGGATGTGTGAAGAATATGATGAGCACTAGGCAAATCTAAACAAACAGTAATATTAAAGTCGAATTTGCAGAGGGTCAAAACAAGTAAAATACAGGTCAGTGACAACATCTAAACGCAGAGGAAGATTTCTGAAATTATTCTAAGGAGTTTTTCAGAATCAAATTAGAGCCATTACATAACTATAGATCTTGATAAATTAAGTGTGAGGATTAAAATTTCTATTCTAAAACAATAAAATTAGAGTACATAATTTCCAAATGTTAGAAAAAATCCGAAGGACACAAATTCACATCAGCTATGTGACAGTGTAGCAGGGATGTGGAGAACAGGACCTCTTTATAGCACTGAGTAACATGTGAAGTAGCACAACCACTCTGGAAAAGAATCTGGTATTTTCTGGAAAAGTTGGATATATTCAGACCCTAGAGAAACTCTTCCAAATGTGAACCAGGAGCTACGTATCAGTATTTTCATAACAGCATTATTTTTAATACTGAAGATGGATAAAAACAAACCAAAACAATGTCCATTAGCAGAAGACCGGATAAGCTGCAGTATATTTATAAAATGGAATACTGCTCTACAGTGAAAACGAAATCCCTCTAGCTATACAAAGCAGTGGGAATGAATTTCACAGACCTACGCTGAGTGAAAAGAGAAGTAGAAAACTCACACTGTAGTACTGTTCCCTTTATATAACATTAAAAAATATGCAATGCTGGCCAGGTGGGATAGCTCAGGCCTGTAATCCAAGCACTCAGGGAAACCAAGGCAGGCAGATCACTTGAGGTCAGGAGTTTGAGACCACCCTGGCCACCATGGTGAAACTCTGTCTCTACAAAAATACAAAAATTAGCCAGGTGTGGTGGCACGTGCCTACAGTCCCAGCTACTTGGGAGGCAGGAGAATTGAACCTGGGAGGCGGAGGTTGCAATGGGCTGCAATCTTACCACTGTATGTATTTTAGCCTGGGCAACAGAGTGAGACTTCATCTCCAACAAACAAAATGCAATGCTGAAAAATATGCTGTATTAGGATCCAAACCAATAGAATACAATGATAAACAATAGTAAGTTCCAGTTAACGGTCACTTCTTGGGGTGTGGGGTGATTGCAGAGTACACTTGGGTCTTCTAAGGTCCTGGAAGTGTTCCATGTCTCAACCTGGCAGGGGTTCATGGTTGTATAGTGAGGATACAGGCTAGCTTCCACGCTGGCTCTCACATAACAGTGCAGAGGTCAGTGGTCCAGAGGAGGCAGGCAGCACTCACAACTCAGTGTGGTTTCTCCAAGGCTCCAGTCCTTGTTCCTTCTCAGTCACCTGGGGCAGAGAGAGAATCCAGGGCAGAAGCTTTGTTTTTAAAGATATGATTGGGAAGGTGTGCTTATGAGTTTTATGCATCATGTAGCTACATCTCACCGCAAGGGAGTCTGGGAAATGTGGTTTCTGCCTAGGCAGCCGCCTACCCAGTGGACATTTGAGGCCTTCTTAATAAGGAAGAAGAAGAGAACAGATATTGCAGGACAGGTGGGCATTCATGTTATTGTTATTTAAATAACACATCTGCATCACATACATTCTCATCACATACATTTTATTACCTATATAATAAAAATTAGAGGTAAGAGTGCGGTAGCAGGTATGGACAGTTATAAGGAATTAGGGAACGGAGAGGACTGGGAGGACCGGATGGTTTTATTATTTTTTTTCCATTTTTCTTTTGATTTACATTAGGAAATATCCATAGAGGGCTAGAGCAATTTGGGGAACATTAGAGAGAAAGGGAGCCAGGTTCTAGCCCCCAGAGATAAAAAGGACTAGGAGGAAGAGCCTGGGGAAGAAGGGGACCCTAGAAGAGGAGATGAGAGACTGTGTCCTCTGAGCGGGAAGGACCATCAGGTGTTTTACCTATTGTTTCCTCCTGTCCTACCAGCTTCTCCAATTAGTGCTAAGTGCAATTCTAAGAAAAGACAAGCATGTAATTCTGATTGAGCCGAGTTTAATGCCAGCATATATACCAGAAATATGATAGTTGGAAATTGGTGTTATTTGATGTCATTAAAAAATGGTTAGAACCAGAAATACCATTTGACCTGGCAATCCCATTACTGGGTATATACCCAAAGGAATATACATGATTCTGTCATAAAGACACATGCATGAATATGTTCACTGAAGCACTATTCGCAATAGCAGAGACGTGGAATCAACCCGAATGCCCATCAATGATAGACTGGATAAAGAAAATATGGCACTTATATACCATGGAATACTATGCAGTCATCAAAAGGAGTGAGATCATGTCCTTTGCAGGGACATGGATGGAGCAGGAAGCCATTATCCTTAGCAAAGTAATGCAGGAACAGAAAACCAAACACCGCATGTTCTTACTTATAAGTGGGAGCTGAACAATGAGAACACGTGGACACGGGGAGGGAACCAGCACATATTTGGGCCTGGGGGGTTGAGTGGGGGAAGGTAGAGCATCAGGAAAAGTAGCTAACGGATACAGGGCTTAATACCTAGGTGATGGGTTGACGGGTGCAGCAAACCACCGTGGCACATGTTTACCTGTGTAACAAACCTGCCCGTCCTGCCCCTGTACCCTGGAACTTAGCATTTTTTAAAAAAACTGTTTTACATGTAACTTGCAATTTTTTTTTTTTTTTAAGATTTAAAGGTACAGTTGAAGAACTCAGTAACCAGATATTGTCTGCACGGAGTTGGTTGCAACAGGAGCAAGAACGGATAGAAAAACAGCTTTTACAGAAAATTGACCAGCTTTCCTTGATTGTGAAGGAAAACAGTGTAGGTATTGATTCTTAGCAATAATTTAGTGAAGTTATTCAGTGGGGGCCTACCCCGTTTGAATAATAACACCTGATAACTCAGCGCTGATTTATCTGGCACCACCTAAACCTTTTCAGTTGTTTCTTGCCTTAAAATCCATTTCTGCGGTTCATATCGATTCTTTTCATTCTTCACAAAGACATAGAACACTTTGACTTGTTTTGGTTAACAAAGACCAGGTGGAAAATTCCAGCTAAAATGAACTTCAGCCAAAACCTTAATGATCCAAATTGTTCATCTGCATTTCTACATAAAACTAAGAATTACAAGGCTGGGCGCGGTGGCTCACGCCTGTAATCCCAGCACTTTGGGAGGCCGAGGCGGGTGGATCACGAGGTCAAGAGATCGAGACCATCCTGGTCAACATGGTGAAACCCTGTCTCTACTAAAAATACAAAAAATTATCTGGGCACGGTGGCGCGTGCTTGTAATCCCAGCTACTCGGGAGGCTGAGGCAGGAGAATTGCCTGAACCCAGGAGGCGGAGGTTGTGGTGAGCCGAGATCGCGCCATTGCACTCCAGCCTGGGTAACAAGAGCGAAACTCCGTCTCAAAAAACAAAACTAAGAATGACCAACTTCGTCCTTGTTTGTTTTAATTTCTTGATCTGGTTTTGCTTTATGCCTAGTGTTGAATAGATTTCTCCCTCCAGATCAGTCCTTTCTACTGTAGCTATATGTGAGATACCACAGTGAAACATGGTATTTTTTCTCCCACCATTTTTCTCCCATTTTCTTCTCCTTTATCCCAGTCTCACATAGAGCTAAGGTTTGTAGAACTGCTCAAAAACGATATCAAGAAAGTCTTGTGCCGGGCGCAGTGGCTCATACCTGCAATCCCTACACTTTAGGAGGCTGAGGCAGGAGAATCGCTTGAGCCCAGGAGTTTGAGGCCAGCCTGGGCAACATGGTGAAACCCCATCTCTACAAAAAACACAACAGTTAGCTGAGCATGGGGGCACACGCTTGTAGTCTGAGTTACCCGGGAGGCTGAGCGCAAATGAAGCTTGAGCCCAGGAAGGTCAAGGCTACGGTGAGCAAGGACTGCACCTGTGCCATAGCCTCGGCCACAGAGTGAGACTCGATCTCAAAATTTAAAAAGTCTTACATATGTAGCATTCAAAAATAATTATGGTCCCAAACCAGTACCTGGCAAGCAAATTTTTGTTGGTTATAATTATTTAGCATGACATGTCTGCCCCCTCCCCTTTTCTGACACTGTTTCCTCTTGTTGGATATGTCTGAGCTGCAGTGACGGTGCAGTTACTTCTCTGACTCTGCTCTCTTCAGACATGGAGCCACTGAATTGCAGGGTCTGCACTGAGCATTATCACGCCGTAACCCACTTCCAGCCCCGAGTCTGCAGCCCTGGCCTCCGTGCTCACTGGCACACACAGAGTCCCATAAAAACCAAGCATGTGGGAAGGAAAGGAAAGAGAATGCTTAAGTTTTATACATGATTTTATATATATTTAAAATATTAAATATTTTCTTTTAAATATTTCCTTCACATCTCCTGATTGTCTTCGTTGGGTTCATGCTAATACATTTCACTAATAATTCTTGATCTTTGGATCGCTGCTTATGTATGGATTGGTTGAATAGCTAATAGTAAACCCCAGGATAATGGTGGCTTTCATGAAATAGAAGCTTATGGGTCTGAGTATGGGTGATGCAGGACTGATGTGATGGCTCGTCAGTCCTCAGCGACCCAGGATCCTTCTAGTTACACTTTTTGCCAATCCTACAGGGATCCATATCCTCATAATTTAGTATGGCTGCTGGAACTCCAGCTGTTCTGGCTGAATTCCAGAAACAGAAGGAAGAAGGAGGGAGTAAGGATATACATCAGCTGTCTTTTAACTTTTCCTGGAAGCTGCCATGTACACTTGTACTTGCATCTCATTGAATGTAGTCTTTTTTATTTTTCATTTTGAGACAGAGTCTCAGTCTGTTACCCAGGCTGGAGTATAATGGCGCGATCTCGGCTCACTGCAACCTCTGCCTCCCGGGTTCAAGCAATCCTCCTGCCTCAGCCTCCCAGGTAGCTGGGATTATAGGCACCCACCACCATGCCTGGCTACTTTTTGTATTTTTAGTAGAGATGAGATTTTTACCATGTTGATCAGGCTGGTTTCGAACTCCTGACCTCAGGTAATCTGCCCGCCTCGCCTCCCAAAATGCTGGGATTACAGGCGTGAGCCACCACACCCATCTAGAAAATGTAGTCTTTATTTTGAATGACCTTGTACCCAGCCAGAAATTACGGATTTTTTAAGGAAGAAAGGGAGAATGGATATGAGGGTGGGCAACGAGCGGCTGCTGGGGATCTGTTCCTCGCGGATTGTTGCAAATGATATTATGGCTGATCTGAATGCAGTGTAGGTTTTCTTTCTGGACTGATTGAGTGCAGTTCTTATCGTGGATCTCAGGGAGCCAGTGAAAGGGACGTGGAGAAGAAGCTCAGCCAGATGTCGGCCAGACTTGACAAAATAGAAGAGGGTCAGAAGAAGACTTTCGATAGTCAGAGAACGAGGCAAGAAGAGGAGAGGATGCACGGGCGAATCACCAAGCTGGAGTTACAGATGAACCAGAACATGAAGGAAATGAAGGCAGAAGTGAATGCTGGTAGGTCAGAACCAAAACAGCTCACATGCTTTGTTCTCTGTTTGATCTGAAACTTATTAATCGGTATCACCTGCACCTACCCGTGAACCTAGCTACGGGTCATAACCATGAGATATCCTCAGTTGATTTTCTAAGTAGCCCTGCTGTATTTTCTAAGTAGCTACAATGCTGTTTGAATTTCAGCTATAGAAAGAGCTACCAAGAGAGACAGGCAGACAAAACTGAAATTGCTTAGCTGGCAACTGAGGTACATTGTCTTTAGCACAGTCTGCCAGGGCTGCTCTGTTCCTAGCCAAGGTTAACATGTCTCAGAAGGAAGCACATATCTCTGACGAGGTTTTGAGGGCTTATTTGACATGGTGTTAGCAGTACAGTACCACCCTGGCAGTGAATGCTTTTTCCTCTTCTGGCAGGTCAGCAGGGCCCATGAATTCACACTTGCTTAGAGAACATTAGAGCTGATTTCAAGTTCTGTGTGCTGTTAAATACAGGAGGCATTAGATTTACGCTCTGAACTCAGGAACACAGAAGTGCGACCCCAAGTGGAAGGTACCTGAAGACAGATTTTAAGTCAATATGAGACAGAAGTACCTTAAAGTGAATGAGGCCTAAAAGACACTGATGGGAGCTCGAGGGCTCTGTTACAGAACGTATTCGATTGGAGACTTGTTAATTGCGGTCAGGAAGAAGACTTTGTGAGAAGCGGAACTAAATTCTCTCCCAGCTCCTTCCGATTTGTATGATCCCATGAATTTTCTTCTGTGAAATTGTTCTGTTTGGGCCACTTGGAAATGAAAGTGCTACGTATGCCAAGAATGATTTTGTTATTACCACCAAATGGGTATTATTTTATTCACAGGAGCTACAGTTAAATATATGAATTGGATAACTTGTAAAGATAAAAATGAATTTTCTTTCTCAGTCTTTGGAGTATTAAAATATTTCATCGATGTTTAACTTCACATCCTTCCCTGAATGAATGTATTGTTAACTATTTAACATACCATTGAGGATGTTAATAGTTAGCACCTAATATGAAAAGCATCTGAGCATTTTTAAAATTAAAGTGTTTTTAAATTTAAATCCCAGCCCTTTGGGAGGCCGAGACAGGCGATCACAAGGTCAGGAGATAGAGACCAGCCTGGCTAACATGGTGAAACCCCGTCTTTATTAAAAACACAAAAAATTAGCCAGGCATGGTGGCGCACGCCTGTAGTCCCAGCTACTCGGGAGTCTGAGGCAGGAGAATCGCTTGAACTCGGAAGACAGAGGTTGTGGTGAGCCGAGACTGTGCCACTGCACTCCAGGCTGGGCAGCAGAGTGAGACTCTGCCTCAAACAAAACAAAACTAAACATATATATCTATAAATAAATAAAATTAAAGCCATTTTCTTTATTAAAAAGATAATATATTTCTTTTTTTTTTTGAGACAGAGTCTTGCTGTATCACCCATGGTGGAGTGCAGTGGCATGGTCTCAGCTTCACTGCAACCTCTGCCTCCAGGGTTCAAGCCATTTCCCTGACTCAGGCTCCTGAGTAGCTGGGATTACAGGCATATGCCACCAAGCCCAACTAATTTTTTTTTTTTTTGAGACAGAGTTTCACTCTTGTTACCCAGGCTGGAGTGCAATGGCGCGATCTCGGCTCACCGCAACCTCCGCCTCCTGGGTTCATGCAATTCTCCTGCCTCAGCCTCCTGAGTAGCTGGGATTACAGGCACGCGCCACCATGGCCAGCTAATTCTTTGTGTTTTTAGTAGAGACGGGGTTTCACCATGTCGACCAGGATGGTCTCGATCTGTTGACCTCGTGATCCACCCGCCTCGGCCTCCCAAAGTGCTGGGATTACAGGCTTGAGCCACCGCGCTTGGCCCTTTTTTTTTTTGTATTTTTAATAGAGACAGGGTTTCACCATGTTGGCCAGGCTGGTCTTGAACTCCCGACCTCAAGTGATCCTCCCACCACGGCCTCCCAAAGTGCTGGGGTTACAGGTGTGAGCCACCAGACCTGGTCACATGATGCCTTTTTAACCCTTTATTATTTCCATTTTTTTTTTTGGAAATACAAAAAATGACAGAGTGAGACAGGGGCCCGCTGTGTTGCCTAGGCTGGAGTGAGGAGATGTGATTGCAGCTCACTGCAACCTCCTGAGCTCAAGCTGTCTCCCTGCCTCAACCTTCTGAGGCTCTAGAACTATGGGCATGTGCCACCATGCCCAGCTCATTTTTTTATTTAAAATAAACGTTTTAGAGATGGGGTGTCAGTATGTTGCCCAGACTGGTCTGGAACTACTGGCCTCAAGCAGTCCACTTGCCTTGACCTGCGAAAGCACTGGAATTACAGGTGTGGGCCACTGCCTCGCCATCCTTTTATTATTTCAGTGTATGTGTCCTAAGAACAAGAATATTCCTTATTCATAATTTCAGTACAATGTATCATCCATGAAATGTTTGTTAATATTCCATTTTTAACGTGCTGCTCTTTCCTTTTCCAGTCCAGGGTCTTTTTTTCCTCTAATGACATGTTTGTTTTCTTTTTGAGGTGGCGTTTCGCTCTTGTTACCCAGGCTGGAGTGCAATGGCGCGATCTCGGCTCACCGCAACCTCCGCCTCCTGGGTTCAGGCAATTCTCCTGCCTCAGCCTCCCGAGTAGCTGGGATTACAGGCACGCACCACCATGCCCAGCTAATTTTTTGTATTTTTAGTAGAGACGGGGTTTCACCATATTGACCAGGATGGTCTCGATCTCTTGACCTCGTGATCCACCCGCCTCATCCTCCCAAAGTGCTGGGATTACAGGCTTGAGCCACTGCGCCTGGTCCAATTACATGGTTTTTTATTTTTAAAAAGTGTTGTGTAAAATAAGATGTTCATATTTTGGTATACATATACATATACATATTCAAATAGTTACTGGATTCAAGCAAGTTAACATCTCACAGGTATTCGTGTGTGTGTGTGTGTGTGTGTGTGTGTGTGTGTGTGTGTATGGCAAGAACACCTGGAAATGTGCTCTTTTAGCAAAAATCCCAAATACAATAGAATATTATTGACTGTAGTCCTCATGCTATACATTACATGTCTGGTCTTGTTCATTTTGCATATCAGCAATTTGTACCCTTTAACCTACATCTTCCCATTTCCTCCTCTTCCTCCCCACCTTTGGTAACCCCCATTGTATCCTATCTCTGTGTTTTTGACTTTCTTTTTTCGTTTGTTTGTTTTTTGAGAGTGAGACTCACTCTGTCACTCAGGCTGGAGTGCAGAGGCATGATGTCGGCTCACTGCAACCTCTGCTTCCCAGGTTCAAGTGCTTCTCATGCCTCAGCCTCGACAGTAGCTGGGATTGTAGATGTGAGCCACCATACCTGGCTTATTTTTATATTTTTAGTAGAGATGGAGTTTCACGGTGTTGGCCAGTCTGGTCTCAAACTCCTGACCTCAAGTAATCCACCTGCCTCGGCAGGCCTGCCTGCCTGCTCCCCCGCCCTCCCTCCCTCTCTCCCTCCCCCCTCCTTCCCTCCCTCCCTCCCTCCCTCCCTTCCTTCCTTCCTTCTTTCTCTTTTTTGATTACACATTTGAGACCATGCAGTATTTTTCTTTCTGTATCTGTCTTATTTCACTCGGCATAATGCCCTCCATTTGTACCCATTTGTGACAAAGGGCAGGCTCTCCTTTTTATTTTGTAAGGTGACGAATATTCATCATATGTGTATATACACACTTCCTTTAATCACTAACGTTTTGATGGACACACTTCGGTTGCTTCTCTATCTTGGCTATTGTAAATCATGCTGCAATGAACAGGAGAGTGCAGATATCGTGAAGAGGTACTTATGTGATTTCCTTTGGGAATATACCCAGCAGTGAGATGGCTGGGTTGTATGGTATTGTATTTTTAATTTCTTTGGTAACCTCTATACCAAGCTTGTCCAACCCACAGCCCACAGGCCATATGTGGCTCAGGATGGCTTTAGCAGCCCAACACATATCATAAACTTTCTTTTTATTTATTTATTTATTTATTTGAAAAAGAAAAGAAGGGGAAAAAAAGAAAAAGAGGGAAAAAGGAATACTACTTCATTCCTAAAATGGGTTTCAATAATGGCCGATCAATATTTTGAGTGTTTAAAGTGGTTAATGCATATTTTATGTGTTTAAAATGGAGACCTCTATTGTGTTTATTTGTTCTGGCTCTGAGTTATCATAAACTTTCTTAAAACATTAGGAGATTTTTGGGGGATTTTTTGTTTAGCTCATCAGGTGTCATTAGTTTTAGTGTATTTGACAAGTGGCCCAAGACGGTTCTTCCAGTGTGGCCCAGGGAAGCCAAAAGGTTGCACACCCTGCCCTATACTGTTTTCCCCAATGGCTGCCCCGTGCTGCCTTCCCACTGACAGTGTGCAAGTGCTCTCCTTTCCTCACACTGTTGCCAACACTTGTACTCTTGTCTTTTTTTTTTTTTGAGACGGAGTTTCGCTCTTGTTACCCAGGCTGGAGTGCAATGGTGTGATCTCAGCTCACCACAACCTCCGCCTCCTGGGAACAGGCAATTCTCCTGCCTCAGCCTCCTGAGTAGCTGGGATTACAGGCACGCGCCACCATGCCCAGCTAATCTTTTGTATTTTTAGTAGAGACGGGGTTTCACCATGTTGACCAGGATGGTCTCGATCTCTTGACCTCGTGATTCACCCGCCTCAGCCTCCCAATGTGCTGGGATTACAGGCGAGAGCCACCGCGCCCAGCCTGTACTCTTGTCTTTTAGAAAATAGCCATCCTGGCAAGTGTGAGGTGATAAGGCATTGTGGCTTTAATTTGTACTTCCCTTATGATTAGTGATGTTGGTCCTTCAGGTTCCAATCCAGAGTTACATTGTATTCAATTGTCATGTTTCTTTGTTTAGTCTCTGTTCATCTGCACCAGTTCCTCCGTGACCCTGACGTTTTTCATGAATATCATACAGGCAGCATTTTGCACACTGCCCCTCAGCTTAGACTTGCTTGTTTCATATTTTTTTTTTTTTTTTTGAGATGGAGTCTCGCTCTGCCCCTAGGCTGGAGTGCAGTAGCACGATCTCGGCTCACTGCAACCTCAGTTTCCCAGGTTCAAGTGATTCTCCTGCCTCAGCCTCCCGAGTAGCTGGGACTACAGAAGTGCACCATCATGCCCAGCTAATTTTTGTATTTTCAGTAGAGACGGAGTTTCGCCATGTTATCCTGGATGGTCTCCAGCTCCTGACTTCAGGTGATCAGCCCGCCTCGGCCTCCCAAAGTGCTGAGATTATTGGCGTGAGCCTCCATACCAGGCCTGTTTGCTTCATCTTGATATAATTTAGGTTGTGCTTTTTGGTATTTTTTGAAAATGCCAATAAGTGATGTTGTGCCCTGCCTGGGGTCTCTTCTCAGGAGTTCCGTGATGCTGGTTTCTCCCAGTATTGGTGTCGTTAGCTCTGATCACTTGGCTAAAGTGATATATGTCAGACTTCTGCATTGTAATAGTTCCTTTTTCCTTTCTGTAATTAAAAAGTAATCTCTAGGGAGAGACTATGACACTCACCTGTTCCCCATCAAACTTTTACCCCAGGGGTTTTAGCACCTATTAGTAACTTTTGCCTGAAGCCGGGCGCAGTGGCTCACGCCTGTAATCCCAGCACTTTGGGAGGCTGAGGTGGGCGGATTACCTGAGGTCAGGAGTTTGATACCAACCTGACCAATATGGTGAAACCCCATCTTTATAAAAAAGGAAAAAAAAAGTAATTTTTGCCTGAACCAACCATTACTAGATGCTATAGAATTTGATACAGTATTGTTTGTGAAATATCAACTCTTGTGAAATATTAACTCTTGTGACCTTTACCTCTCCTTCAAGGGTTTACAGCTGTCTATGAAAGCATAGGATCCCTCAGGCAAGTTCTCGAGGCCAAGATGAAGCTGGACAGGGACCAGCTACAGAAGCAGATCCAACTGATGCAGAAGCCGGAAACCCCCATGTGAGGGGAGCTGGCACAAGGTCCTAAACGACGGCGTTGCCAGTGGGGCCAGGAGCCGGATACCTCTGTAGCCAGGCTGTCGCCGCATTCAGGATTGTTCCATCCGTGGTGTGCATGTGCCGCGAAGTGTGTTTTTATGGGTCTAAACGTTTATCTTGAGTCTTGAAAATACTCTAAAACTATGAAATGCCATTTTTAACACTTTATTTCACTTCTCTAAATTCAATGGAAATCCCACCCCCCTGTATTTTGAAAGGCTTTTATCTTCTTCATTTTACAAATGGAAAGAGGACAGTTTTTATTCAATGCGTGATGCACTAGCAAAGACTGTTTACCATTTTGAAAAATGTCATAGTGATTTTTTAAAATTAAGAAACGACTCATCACAGGAATGTTTTGCTCCTCACCCTAAATTAAGAGAATGTTCCGGTAGATTAGCCTTCAACCTTTAAGTCCAATTTGGATTTTATTATTGTCGTCTATGCATTTCTTATATTGGTTATCTCCTTGTAAACCTTCTGTCTTTTGTAAGGGGAAAGGGTTTAACACTTAGAAGAAACCCCACCGTTTATGTAATGAATAGGGTTTAAAAATTGCAAACTGCCATATGGATTGCAAATTAAATGGAAACTTATTTAGATATTGTAAGGCTCAATATCTACACCGACCACCTAGATATTACAGGTTTTAATATTTAAAACTATTTTTGAATTATCCACAGCCTGTATAGTGATAGCCATATATTTAATAATGGAATGGTGGTTAACAGTCTGTTTACTGCACAATTAATTGTTGACTAATCAAAATAGAATGTGGTACTTTTTCAGACTTTCTGATCTCTCTAAATGTCTCCAAAATTGGCACAAAGTGCTAGAGTTTGTATACACTTGTTGTAACTGTATTTTCGTGCCTTGGTTTGATCATGTTAATGCACTGTACTCTGTAAGTTTTGCAGACAAAATAGAAAGTAAGAAAATTCGTCAGAAGTATGATGTAAAGCAGGAATCTTCTGTATTTTTTAAATGTTCTAAAATTTTTCTCACTGTTAAGGGATTAATCATTCAGCATTGCTAATGGAATAGGAATTCATACTTTTGTATGGACAATTCAAATGGATGTTGCATTTATAGCACCATCGAGAAACCTTCATCTTGAGTAACTTTGTAGATGATGGGTGTTTTATTTTCAATTACCGTATTTCATCAGTCATTGAGAATTGGCCCCAGTGCGGTTTGTTCATCTCTGTATGTAAAAACGGACAGTGAGCCACACCGATCTGATCTGTGAGGGTGCCCCAGGAAAAAGATGTAAAAACGGACAGTGAGCCACACCGATCTGAACTGTGAGGGTGCCCCAGGAAAAAGCTGTAAAAACGGACAGTGAGCCACACCGCTCTGACCTGTGAGGGTGCCCCAGGAAAAAGATGTAAAAACGGACAGTGAGCCACACCGATCTGAACTGTGAGGGTGCCCCAGGAAAAAGATGTAAAAACGGACAGTGAGCCACACCGATCTGAACTGTGAGGGTGCCCCAGGAAAAAGATGTAAAAACGGACAGTGAGCCACACCGTTCTGATCTGTGAGGGTGCCCCAGGAAAAAGAAAAACAGGAATCTTTAACAATTAAAAAGAAAAAAATGTTTTTTTGTTTGCCAAGGACTCAGGAAAATAAAAAGCATTTTCTATTTTTAGGATAAATCACAAAGGAAATCTCCAGCTGGCTCTTACTGTTTACCCCTATAAAATATGCTGCTGAAGTATGTATGTGACTCTCAATGGCTTGACAAATTTTCTTTTTTCGAATTTGGACATGAGAGGTTATATAGGGACTCTGTCATCCAACACTTATTTTCTTGTTTTGTCACAAATTTCCACTTAACGAAGAAAAAAAGAGGCGAATGCTCTTTTGCGATCAGAAAGTGAATTTCCTTTGTGGTAGCGTACAGGCGTTTCATGTGGTCCTTCACGTTTAAGCACAAACCACAGCACAGGAAGCCACACCCCTCCGCATCTCTGTTCTCTGGGGTCTTTGAGGAGAAGGAATCAGAACTTTGACACCTGGGAAGAGGGAGGTGCGGAGCACCAGCTGGACCTGGCCAAGGGGTGATGTAAGCAGGGGACATGTGCCTGTCAGCTGGGCTTCTCAGGTGCTTCTGACATTGCCAGCCCCATGGGATGAGCCACTGCAGGCGTGCTCCACCTCGGCTACATGTTGGAATCATCTGGAGGAGTCCGGAAGGTTACTGATGCCCCTCTGTCCCTCCTAGACCGATTAAGTCAGAACCTGTGGGAGGGTCTCGGGCATCAGGGCGTGCCCGAGGCCCGCGGTGTTTTGGTGTGCAGCCACCTTGTAGTATTCTTCTCACCAGAGCTCAAAGGAGAATCAGCTTCCATGTTCTTTCCTCCACCAGAAATCTGCAATAAAAAGAAAAAATTTTCAAGTAAATGTGGTGTATGACTTTTAAATTTAAAAGTCTTTTAGTGCTGAGGTGAAGACTGACTTAGGTAAAATGCCTAGGAAATACTTCTGTTTGCTCTCTGTGGAAACGCTTTGATGGCTGAAATAAAGTACTCACTTCCTGGCAGCCCCTCTGAGGACTGGAATGTCACTGGGAGCTGCTGGTCCATGGGCATCGGGGCTGTGGGGCCTCCTCTGTGGCCTTCCTGTCCCTGGCAGTTCCCCAGCGTGTGCTGCGTGCCTGTGCCATGTCCCTTGTGTGTGTCAACTCATTCCATTTTAACTAGTTGAGTTCGCTACCATTTCCCCATTTTACAGATGAGAAAATCGAGTCGCCTAAAGGAGAAGCAACTTGCCCCAGATCCTAGAGCTAATAAGTGGGAGCCATGATTCAAACCAGGCCACCTATTTCCACAGCCTGGGTGCGTACGCAGCACACTGCACTACCTCTGAAGACGCATCTTGGCTTCCCACATATGTGACTTGCCAGGCCACCAACACCAGCCATATCTCTGTGAGCTTCGCCTCCTGCCATCCGACTACCCTCGCTTGTTGCTGCCACAATTCCAAACACCTAATGAGGCAATCTAATCAGCTTGTCATGTGTCTTCCCTTGGCCGGATCAACAGAGTCCCCAGAGGTGGGGAGAGTTGGTGCCGCAGGACTTGCAGGACCGAAGGTCTTTCATTCCCCGCTCCTGGGCTGTCCTGGGTCGTGGGCCCTGCCTCTGTACATTGGGAGGAGGATTGTGTTGAGGGAGTATAGAGCAGAACAGAGAAGATGGTTCCATTCAGGTGTAATTATCCCAATTTCAGGGTGAAAAAGAATCACAAAGAATTGTGACATCACTTCCTTGCTCTGCTAAACAGCCCTCCTAACGGGTTTTTTTTTTTTTTTAATTTTTTTATTTTTTGAGACGGAGTTTTCGCTTTTGTTACCCAGGCCGGAGTGCAATGGCGTGATCTTGGCTCACCGCAACCTCCGCCTTCCGGGTTCAGGCAATTCTCCTGCCTCAGCCTCCCAAGTAGCTGGGATTACAGGCACGCGCCACCATGCCCAGCTAATTTTTTGTATTTTTAGTAGAGACGGGGTTTCACCATGTTGACCAGGATGGTCTCGATCTCTTGACCTCGTGATCCACCCGCCTTGGCCTCCCAAAGTGCAGGGATTACAGGCATGAGCCACCGCGCCTGGCAACTCCATGCATTCTAAAAGGCCCAGGGAACAGGGGGCAGGTGCTTCTCCCCTTTCCCTTGTTTTCGTCATTTAGGCAAATTATTAGAAGATGGTGGTTCCAGCCAAAAAAGAACATGTGGTCATTTAAATGTAAATATAAATTGTTTAGAATTCAGTGTATCTGACACTTAAGTTTCCCAGTGGTACTAGCCACATTTCAAGTGTCAGCAGCCTCATGCGGTTAGTACCTACTTTATTGCCTGTGCACGTGTGGAAGAGTTCTATGATTGCAGACATTTCCGCTGGACAGTCCTCAGAGTGTCCCCAGATGAGCAGCCTCTAGAGCAACAGTTTACCTCCCTCTTTCAATGAACGGCCTGATATAGTTGGGCTGTGTCCCCACCCAAGTCGCATCTTGAGTTTCCAAGTGTCCTGGGAGGCAACTGAATCATGGGGGTCGGTTTTTCCCCTGTTGTTCTCGCGAAGTGACTAAGTCTCACGAGATCTGATGCTTTTATAAAGGTAAGTTCTCCCGCACATGCTCTCTTGCTGCCGACAGGTAGGATGTGACTTTGCTCTTCATTCGCCCTACGGTGTGGATGATAACGAGGCCTCCCCAGCCGTGTGGAACTGTGAGTCAACTAAATCTCTTTCCTTTCTAAATTACTCCGTCTTGGGAATGGATGTATTAGCAGCATGAAAACAGAGTAATACACAATCTTGTCTCTAACTCTGCACCATCATCTGTCAGCCTAAAATGGCTGGAAATGCTCTCCAGTCTCATCCCTGCGATATCATGTCAGTTGTCCCTGTTAGAATAAATTCCTAGGTCTTTGTTTATAAGATTTTATCTTTAAGCAAGATGAATCAACTCCAGAGGTCTTGCCTGCCATGGTGGCTCACGCATGTAATCCCAGTACTTTGGGAGGCCAAGGCAGGTGGATTATCTGAGGTCAGCTGTGGAAGACCAGCCTGGCCAACATGGTGAACCACGCCTCCCCGCATTTCTACTAAAAATATAAAAATTAGCTGGGTGTGGTGGCACGTAGCTGTAATCCCAGGTATTCAAGACGCTGAGGCAGGAGAACTGCTTGAACCTGGGAGGTGGAGGTTGCAGTGAGCTGAGATGGCGGCATTGCACTCCAGCCTGGGTGACAGAGTGAGACTCTATTGAAAACACTCAGAGACCTGCTGTATAACATTGCACCTGTTGTCAACAGCCATGCGCTGTACCCTTAAAACTTCTTTATGAGGGCAGATCTTATGTTACATGTTCTTACTATAATAGAATACACTTTTAAAAAAAAATTTTCACTGGGCCGGCACAGTGGCTCATGCCTGTAATCCCAGCACTTTGGGAGGCCAAGGCAGGCAGATGACAAGGTCAGGAGACTGACTGAGATCATCCTAGCTAACATGGTGAAACGTCATCTCGGCTATAGATTAGCCAGGCATGGTGGCACACCATTGGATGGTAGGGACGATGTCTGCAGATTTCCAGCACTTACTGTATGTCACCAGGAAAGTGCCAGGAGCTCTCCAGCACTACCAGGCCTGCCCGCGGGACTCACTGTCCTTTGCTGCCCCCACGTGGAGAGAACGAAAACTCCTAGGGAACCTGTTTCTACAGGGAAAACCCAGAACCAAGGAACATGTTTGGAAACCGCCATTGCAAAATCACGGCCCAGACAGCAAAAGATACCTGACCTAGCCAACTCCATCTTGTTTCTAAGCTCCAAGCTGTCCTTGATCATTCCTGGGCATAGGCTGAACTAAGTTTGGGAGGAACGTAGTTTATAGTTTAAAACGAAGGTAATTAACAGCCCTTTCCCAAAACAAATCCCCTTCTTGCCTGAGGACCAGACTGCCTTTGTAGGACTAACAAATTAGCCACAAGATTAGAAATGATGGGTTAGGAGTCTTGAAGCTGGAGGCTACAAGAGCTTGACCCTCCCCAGATTGCTCCTGGGGATACCATCCCTATTGCAGACCCTGTGCTTGATGGGTTAGCTGGCACCACCCAGATCGATGAACTGGCTCGTGTGATACTGGCCCCCACCTGACTCAGTGCAGGACAGTTTGGATGTCCTATGATTTCATCTCCGACCCAACCAATCGGCACTCCTTACTCACTGGCTGCGTCCCCAACCACCAAATTGTCCTTAAGAACTCTGATCCCTGAGGCAGGGCATTGTGGCTCCCGTCTGTAATCCTCGCACTTTGGGAGGCCACGGAGGGCGATCACAAGGGCACTCGTGACCAACACGGTGAAACCCCGTCTCTACTAAAAATACAAAAAAAAGCTGGATGTGGTGGTGTGTCCCTGTAATCCCAGCTACTCAGGAGGCTGTGGCAGGAGAATTGCTTGAACCCGGGAGTCAGAGGTCACAGTGAGCCAAGATCTCGCCACTGCAGTCCAGCCTGGTAACAGAGAAAGACTCCATGTCAAAAATAAAAAATAAAAAAAAAAAAAGGAAAAGACCATGTTAAAGAACTCAGGATAAGGCTTGGAAGATGGAGTTGAGAAAGCTCTCTCTTAAGTTAGAATTAAAGAAAAGAGCCGGATGCAGTGCCTCCCACCTGTAATCCCAGCAATTTGGGAGGCCAAGGTGGGTGGATCACCTGAGGTCGGGAGTTCAAGACAAGCCTGACTGACATGGAGAAACCCCATCTTTAAATAAATACATAAATAAAAAGAAAGAAAGATTCAAATAGGAAAATAAGATAAATATCATCCCAGGAAGTGAAACATTCAATTATTATGTTTCATTAAAAGAGATATTTGAGAGAGAAATAATATTTTTTTTTTTTTTTTTCTGAGATGAAGTTTCGCTCTTGTTACCCAGGCTGGAGTTCAAGGCGCGATCTCGGCTCACCGCAACCTCCGCCTCCTGGGTTCAGGCAATTCTCCTGCCTTAGGCTCCCGAGTAGCTGGGATTACAGGCACACGCCACCGTGCCCAGCTAATTTTTTGTGTTTTTAGTAAAGACGGGGTTTCACCATGTTGACCAGGATGGTCTCGATCTCTTGACCTCGTGATCCACCCGCCTCGGCCTCCCAAAGTACTGGGATTACAGGCATGAGCCACCGTGCCCGGCAACTCTATGCATTGTAAAAGGCCCAGGGAACAGGGGGCAGGTGCTTCTCCCCTTTCCCTTGTTTTCGTCATTTAGGCAAATTATTAGAAGATGGTGGTTCCAGCCAAAATAAAACATGTGGTCATTTAAATGTAAATATAAATTGTTTAGAATTCGGTATATCAGGAGGCTGAGGCAGGAGAATTGCTTGAACCCAGGAGGTGGAGGTTGCAGTGAGCTGAGATGGCACCATTGCACTCCAGCCTGGGTGACAGAGTGAGACTCTATTGAAAACACCCCAAGATGTGCTGTATAACATTGCACCTGTAGTCACCAGCCATGCGCTGTACCCTTAAAACTTCTTTACGAGGGCAGATCTTATGTTACATGTTCTTACTATAATAGAATACATTTAAAAAAAATATTTTCACTGGGCCGGCACAGTGGCTCATGCCTGTAATCCCAGCACTTTGGGAGGCCGAGGCAGGCAGATCACAAGGTCAGGAGACTGACTGAGATCATCCTAGCTAACATGGTGAAACCTCATCTCGGCTAAAGATTAGCCAGGTGTGGTGGCACACATCTGTAGTCCCAGCTACTCGGGAGACTGAGGCAGGAGAACTGCTTGAACCTGGGAGGTGGAGGTTGCAGTGAGCCAAGATTGTACCACTGTACTCCAACTAGGGGAACCAGAGCAAAACTCCCTCTCAGAAAAATAAAACAAAAAACAACCAA